GTAAGAAGTTTGCTAATGTTCATAATTAAAATGGTTGTAACAGTTCTATATTTAAATGTATTATCGTTTTGTAAAAAGTTAAAAACATAAGGAGATCCCGTCATTTCTTTTTTCGCCATGTTTCTTTTTTATTATTTATGTACAGCCTTGCTAAACCTTGCTAAGCATTCAAAAGAGAGAATGTTTGCACCTGTTATCTATAATTTAAAATCATCTTTTGAGTATGTTCCTTTATTCACAATTCTACAAAGTTTTAACAGTTTATAGCCAAGACTGTTTGAATAATAAAAAGCAAAAAAATTCACTCCCAAGCGCCCACAAACCTGCATCTCTACCTTAATGCAGTTTCATGAAAAGTAAAACATCGGTGGCACACGTTTTAGATAATCGGCCAATAAGATTATGTATATGTCTCTCACACCATGCAATGTTATAGTTTTTATTAGCCTGAGTGAAATATTTACTTAAGTGGTGAATTAAAATACATTAAAAAAAATTGAGTCACAATGACTGTTATTGACACTAGCACTGCATTTGACTTGTGTCCTTATGTTTGTATTTCATAAAAATAATTAGACATTCCAGCGACCAATAATCTGACAAAAACAAATACAAGCGTGTACTGTGTTGAAAATAAATGTTTATAACTTTAACATAAAGTATTGTGTAATACATGAGCAGTTACAACCTTTGTATGTGTAAAACCGAAACAGCGTGTAATTTATTGTATGTTTTATAGATATCTGCTTTAACAAATAAAAGCGTATTAGGCTGCATCATAACATGCATCCCCAAACACTCACGGGGAAGGTTATCTATGACGATTGCAGAGTCATTAAATATGTAAATAAACAAGTAAATAATTTTATTGATGTGTTTTTGGGAGTATGTTTTAAAGTCGATGGTAATATAGACGCTCAACGATGTCGTGCCGTCTGTGCAAGCTGGTATTGGGTATTGGATTGAATAGCAGCTGGCATATGCCTGACGATTTGACCTTATTCTGCAATACATAATATATGCTGCTCTGGGAAGTCGATAATCTTGTCACTTGACAGTAGCTTTATGTTCACGGCCATTTTACTGAATACACTGGCTACTCAATGCTTCACTGAGTAGGAAATGAACGAGAATGTTTAATCATATATACTCTGTGGCATATGTTATCCAGGGTGGTGTTGGTGGCGTTGATCGTGGAGTGAAGCTCTACAAACTTGGCTACTGGAATAACTAAACAGTTAACTTCGTCGAAATTCACATAGTTGTCTACTTTGGTAGTTGTAATCTTTTGGAATTTATTTTGCTGCTCTAACAGCATATACCCTCCAAACCACTGCTTATTCTATGGAATAAAGTGTATGTCTTAGTGGGCATTGTGCATATTATAGCCATTTACACAGTGTGAAATATGTATAAGGAGGGATAAGGAGAAAGTTATATTTCTGTCCCCGTAATATCGTACATTATGTGTATGAATCTGTACTCATCATAACGTCATTTCCCATAATATTGTATGTTTTACTCTTAACTGAACTTAAGAATTCTATCAATCCATGAACTTATTTTAAAAGTACACTAGTGCAACAAAACTATTTGTCAAACATGTGTTAACTAAAAAAAAATGCATTCATAAATCTGAGAGGACCTTGGTTTTTTTTTTATTAATTCAGGTTTTTGCATACCAACAAGACCAGGGTTTATTTCAATATCACAACGAAGCAACATAATCATTTTCACATCATACAAATAACATAATATATATATAATCTTATAATAGTATGTATTTACTGTACATACAGCACGATTTGTCATCAGTCGGTTGTAAATACATATCTATGTTTTCAGAAAAAGTAATAATTTAGGAATCCTGTATCAATAGGAATCGGCTCATACCCAATAACATATTTGTTTGAAGTCTCGCTAGTACAGTGATAGTGCTGAATTCCAAATGACAGCGTGTTGTATGCTTGATTGAGGGCAGGACAAATATTGAGATGTTTGCACATTCACTTTTGGTACATTTGGCTATTCAACAGTGGATCACCACATGATTCTAACAGTTTCGGCTCATAGCAAATAGGAGACTATTGTGATGAATTTGTTTTTACGTATCTGTTGATCTACTTAATTAGTTGATTACGAGTGAATGGCTGTGTTATGTCTGTCATCGTTTAGGCTCATGCGAGGTCCTGCACGGAAATTGGTTCAGTGATTTGGAACTAATTACGAGATAACCGTCGCTGTTCGGACTACTATTTCTGACAGTTAGTATTCGCAGTTATTACTGTAGTGAACGATTATTATGATACGACGTGTTCAGTACTTAGTGTGATTGGCTTTATGATGGAAGGTTACGCCCTAGAGTCTGTATACTGCTTTGTAATTGGTTAAGGTTTTGAAAGTGAATAAAGAGAGTTTTAGTTGGTCTTGGCGAGTACACCACGACAGACGCAGTCCAAGGCAGTCTTGGAGAGTCTTGACGCAGTCTTGGGCTAGTCTTCAGTCAGCCATGCGATAGTCTTGTGGACTTTTCCCCAGGGCGCTGTGTCTTATAGAGTGCTCGACTGACCGACTAAGACAAGAGTTGAAACGTATTTCGTTGTGTGTGTCTTATTTGACTGTAAAGTTTAAGTGACTTTCCCGATCCCGTACCTCAAGGGGACGCGATAGAGAGACGAGACGATATTTCCCCCTGACACGTGTGGAGAACCCCAGAGGAGAAGAATTCCCCCGTGATACTATTAAAACATGTATTTTTTTCAACTTTTAAACTTAAAAAAAGTTGGCAAGCTAGAACAAGTGACGAGTAACCTACTCCCTCTCAATGCCACGATTGTTTTTGTTACATCCATGTTTTAGCTATTCACAACCCCTAAAAAATGTTGGAATCTTACAATTTTAATGGTAATCGCACAAGTCTGAATTTGATGGATTGACGGATTTTTCACACACATATAAATTGTTTAAAAGGCTCTTTTAATTCATTTTCTAAATATTTTACAATCTCATGGACGGAGTATTTTATTGGATACATGCCTTGGTCTTGAAAATAATATGCGGGTTTTATTGTGTTAAAGGTAACACAAGTGGTCTGTGACATTTAAAGATTATTTCCCCTAATGAAACTAAATATCATATATTGCATGTATGTTAAATATCTCTAAATATGGCTAATCTATTTCCGGATTTCAAAAGTGTTATTTTTGTCAAACACAAGTGAATAAATATGCAAGTGAACACCAAATCTAACTTATCGGCATTTCGGCTAAATATATGGCTATTTGTTGTTGAAAATAATTGCAATTTATTTAGTCGAGGAGGAAGAAAACAAGTAGTCAGTCAAAAGTAGTCCCTTCTTGTGCCCTCCACACGTTTAGGAAACAAATCACTTAAAGATAATTTCACGTGCCAAGTTTGAACAAAATCAGTTCAGTATAATTAAGATTGCCGAATGGCCGAACTTCACGTTGATGATTTGTTTTGGCATAAATGATACTTAATTGGGATAAAGCTGAGGCATACGATTCTTGCATTGATTTTGAACAGTATTGAATTCCCTATTTGCCGCAAAAGGAATGCTCTCTTTTTAATAGAAGTGTTCAGCATGTTTTGGTTTTGGGGGAATACAAGATTGATTACACTCATATTTTCTGCAATCTTTCCCAGTAATGTTGTGGTACACTTAGGGCACACTATAACATAAACTGTACTCATGGAAAATATGTCTTTCTAATTGTGTATTGCAGCCCCAATGTAAGTGTATATGTCCCTCCAATTCTCTTTTGGCACCAACACAGGTAGCACTTTGGGCCACGCTGACAAATAAACGGTCTATATTCTCATTGTACCCACCTCCATAGAACTACATATGTTAAATTAAACCGAAATGTATGAAACATTTGTCAATTTTTATTGGAATATAGCATCATATAATTACAGTTGAAAATTGACAAAATTATTCTATGGTGTACATAGATTACGAGACAACCGCTTCTCATTTTCCTGAATTGGGAATTTTCTGTCATAGTTTTCTTCAGTACACCTCTCATTTATTAGCTCTATTGCATAATGACGGTCTTGATTGATACCATTTCGTTCGTGGAAAACCATAGTACAAAATATCTTAATATTCCTATTGGATTTCTTGGTAATTTCAAAAATGAAGACAAATAACAAATTGTTAGGACTATTATAGCTATTTTCTTCTGTAGAAGCAATCCCCTTAATCAGCTGAATTTAGGACGTACACACTCTGTTGACAATTTGTAGAAAGTGACCGTCAACTTGTTTTGTAATTCAAATAATTATAGTCTCATTGATAGAGGTGTGTAAATACTGTGATATTTTATTAACGTATTAGGAGTCTAATGTGGATATAAGAGAATTCCAATAAGCTTACGTAAAATGAATAGATAGGTTTACAAGATTAACTTCAGATGTGCCCTGTATATCATGACATTGTCCATCAAGCATTGTTGAATGGCTATAATCGTCACAACTATATAATAGTTAAATGATGTGGAAGTCTACTACACTTGAGGTGACATTATGAGGATGTTATTTTTTTTAGTTTTGGGTATATATTCAACAAATTGTGCTCCCTTGCTGGGTGGGATGTTGATACATTCCTTACTAACGTACTAAAATCAATGGAAAAACATAACTCAAATCCTCTATTTCCGATCAATAATCCTAATTTTAAATAATATTTTCCAAAGATATAGTCAGCTGCACTTAAGATTTAAAAGTCTACAACATTGTTCTACCTGCTTTATACTTGTGACTTAAAGTAGGCTCTAAGAGCAGTTTTTCTGCAATACTAAGTGATATATTCATTAGTTTGACTATATTCAGTGTCCACACACAGCAATACATCTTATATAAAAACCATATAAATGAAGATTATTTTTATTTTAAAATTGTTATCATAAAAGTTGACAAACGCTTAATACAACTTATTGCCACGACCACGAACCAGCGTAATGACCAGAAGATAATACAAATGGTTACAACTATCACGGTAATCACATCAACCAAGTAATACTCGATAACAGAAAGGTTTTTCCCGTAAACATTCAAGTGATTGACACCATGTTTTATCACGTGTTCAATCCAGAAGACTGCAGTTTCTGTTGCATTCATTGGGACATCTTTCACAATGGCCGATAGTTGCTTGGCTCTGTAACTGTATCTGAAATGAATACATGTAAATTTGCTCAATCTATACTACTACATCACTATAAAGTGAATAGATGAGACATTCTATCAGGCTATTTTTGTACATTAGAACATATATAATACAATATAAACAATGAGCAGTTAATTACTTACTTCTCATTCGATAACACATCAACCATGGCTTCGTACAAGTTCTCATTATTCAGTGACTTCATTTTGACATATGTACCAACGCCTTTATATTTAATTTTAGCAGCCGTATCGAATTGATCAAACAGTAGTGGAATGCATACGATTGGAACTCCATGATACATAGCTTCACGGTAACTGCTTGCTCCGCCATGAGTTAAAAATAAACGGGTTTTTGGATGCCCTGATTAAAGTATAGATTCAGAATTAATGTGTCTATAATAGTTAACACACAACATAATGTATAATACTGCTAGGAATAGTCACTAATGTGTGCGTGATATTTAGTTGTACTTGGTGACAATGCTCTGTGACCACAAGCGTCAGTTTGTTCACAATTTCTAACGTTTCAAATCAAGTGATCGATACATACGTGAAAGTATTCACAGGTTTTCTACTGACTATACTCAATATCAAATAAATATATACGGCATATATATACAGAAAAATACAGTTGTAAATTCTTAATTCTGAACTATTTGTATCAGTAAATAATAACACAAATAAATTACCTAAAATATCATTTTGATTAAACCATTTAACAATCTTAACGTTATCACCGAGACCTGGAGGTGTTGATCCTCTGTAACTGAACACCGTTTTTTGGGGAAATCTGGCAAGTGTCGATAGTATTATGTCAAGCGTTTTCTTTGGAAGATGTTTTATAACTGTCCCAATTGATACCACTATGACGCCTTCATTGCCCGAGCTGTGCATAAATTCCTCCAAATCCTGAAATATAATATAATTGATTGATTTATTGATTGAGTTGTTCTTTCACTTACACAATCTAAGACTTGGTAATTCGTGTATCATATTCGATAAAATAGTTTTAAAATGTTTCGTATAAATCCATCCACAATAGAGAAACGACAATAAAGTAAATATTTTTTTACACAAGACACTGTAGTGAAACAAGGAGGAACGTGTATGGTATTTGTTCACTTTCTGCTTGTGTATCATGAAGTTATTAGTTTTTAAACAAACACTTATATGTTCAACATATGTTGAAACAGGTAAAAGATTATCTCTATTTGGTTCCACTGCAGAAAAAATATAAAGTATGCATTTTTTTAAACTAATAAATTTACATGATTCAACACATAGATTAGTTTAACTTGGCTGTAAAACACATGCTGATCAGTTACAGAATTCTTTATTATTTCAATTGAAGAACTAATATCCTACTTATAAGCATGTTGTACTGCATATAGATATTCTACCAATTACATTCTTGAGTGAGTAAAACAATGTTGTTCATTTCGGGTGAAATAACAACCGTCCTAGTATCAGTACCTATTGTCGTTGCTGGTAAGAGAAAAAGTGGAATATGGAAACAGAAATGGTAAGAACTGTATTTACCTAGTCTTCTGAGCTCCGAAATTATGATTTTATGGCTCAATTAAGGTTCGTGGGTACTTTTCGTGATTTTTTTTTTTTTTTGCTTTTTCTTACCCAGACAGTCTTGGCTAGATAGTGTTAAAATTTCGGAGCATTGTCATTGTTGGAACATACTCAAAAATCAATTTTAAAATATAGGGAACCGAGACACGCTTATGTGATTAAAAGTCCCAAAAGTTTGTTTGCGTTGCTCTTTGATTGACAAGTCACTGTTGATGTTATATGCAAATGATTGCTGGCCCCAGTTACGGAGCAGACGGTGTGCGACTTCCTGTCCTGGCTCTCTGTTTACTTACCTCAAGCGCGATCAACTAGCAAACTACAAAAACAGACAAGACGTAGACGCTTCAAGCATGCAAGCGGAATGAAACAAAACATACACTTGTAACTGATAAGTAAACTTTTTCACCCTTAAATAAATTGATTTTTTATTTATTTTCATGTAGGAGGTAACGTCGATAGGGCGATTTAATTTTCGCGCAAAACAAGGCCACAATTTATTTTGTTTTCTTAGTGCATAAATTTAAAGCTTTTTCGCATTCTGGGCGAAACTAAAAAATGTTTCCACAAATTTTTACTCCAACGGCATTTTAACACTGAAGTAAACATTTTTCGTTTCGCTGTAACGATTATCGTACTGATAGAATTGTGATGCAATTGACAAACAACACAGCTGTTGCTGTCATCGCTAACTTTTCAGTGTTAAAATACACAAACATAAAATGCTTGGTTAATTAAAAATAAAAAAAATACCCTGGAAATTACCGAAAAAT